AAAGTACTCTAAACTGTATAAATAATGTAAAATTAAATTGAATTTATTAGCCAATCAGACAAACTTCTGCCTATGAGATTTAATGAGGTTTAGCAAGATCGTATGACAGCTTCTTTACCTGCTATTACGAATTATTCAGTGGTAACATTTTTTAGGATCAGAACTGGCAACTTGGAATGTGCATTCAACATAGATTCGATTATTATTTTCAAGATGGTAACGAGATAATAAGAGATGTTAGAACGATAAAATGAGATTACATCATCACTCTTATCGAGTCCGATAAATACTGACTCAAAGTTTATTTCGTCAATCATGCTTTATGATAAAGTTTAATCAAACTTTTTTTTTTCGAAACACAAAAATGTATATAAATTGTGACTTTTTTAAAAATAATTTTATTCAACTTATTAAAAAGATGCATCTCCATATGAAATTTTATTCATCTATCATATTCATTTCTGTTTACATTCTACAAATTATTTCATCATCACACTCATTTGTGATCACAATTCATTCCTTTTTAGATGTTGTCCCAACACAACATGGCAACAAACCTCTAAAGAAAACGGTCACTACATATATTGTTAAAGAAAGGGAGAAAGGCAAGAAAATTGACAAATCTTTTATCAAATATTATGCACACCCTTACGGAGTACCTGAAACCACAAAGAGGTTTCGAAAAAAGTATTATCCTAATACTTACTTGGAAGCGATTGACAATGTTTAAATACTGCAAACATGCAGGTATGCAAATATGCAAATATTGGTATCGATATTCTATGAAATTAAGATATAAATTTTTTTACGTTTTATTAATATAATAATTTTTTTTTAACCTGCTGGTGGTCATTAATGTAATCTAATATATTAGTGGCATACTTGATCTTTTTTTCGCATCCATTATAAGAAAAAAAATTTTTTATTAACATTTGGTGTCAAAATTGCCGTTGGTATTAGAATACTGTTAAACTTGATATACACTATACCGATACGTATTTTTTAAATTATCCGTTACATTACTACCAATCAAAGTATGTAACCGTAATTTTATCGGCAGGGCAAATGTATAAAAAGAGCATGTCAAATTAAAATATATTTTAGTATTTTGATTTGTTCACAAAGATAACATCATGTGCTGCATTAACCAATCTCAGTAGAATTTCAAACGAAATCGAATGATCGCTTAAATCGTGACAAGTGACATTTTTTTATAAAATTCTTGGATTCTCATGCTCCGTAGAGGCACAAGTCTCGAAAATGTAATTTAAAATCATGTGTAACACGATTCTAAGTTCATCCGGCGACATATAAGTACGTACGTACATTTATAACAAATTGTTTTAATTGATGTACGTAGCGTGCATCCAGAAGAGAAAAATCCCATACCTTTAACCTGAAATAATCTTATTACAGTAATAAACAATTATCCGTCAGATTACTATGATCGAGCTGCTAAATAACTCGGGTTATTTTGCAAAAAAAAAAAAAAAATTATTTTGGTTATTTCATTCTATCGGGATGTGTATTGTACGTAATACTTTTAAATAAATTTCAGAATAGATTGAAGCATTCGAGTAGTTTCTTATATTTTAAAATTCTTAAAGTACTTAAAATCGTCTCTCGTGTTTTAAAATTCACTAGACAGATCGGCGCATTGCTGTGTTTTAAAATTCACTAGACAGATCGGCGCATTGCTCGTGTTATAGATTTCTAATAGTTTGAAATTTCTTTAGATAATCGAAGCATGTACAGTAGATTTCCGCATTTTAAAATTCTCTAGATAGGGAATTCTCTAGACAAGTTGAAACATTTAAAGAAGTTCCTTTTTGTATTTTAAGATTCTTTGGATATTTTGTTTTGTAATAAAAACTTTTACACTACTGCTTGCATATTATCTTTTTATTTATACATTTTTAATTAAACCTTTATTTTATTCGTTCCACGTCATGCCCGATCGTCGTTATGACGGATAATACCGTTATTGGACGCTACGCACCAATAACTGTCGTATCTGGGGCAGAATTTGATCGAGAGCCCCTGCAGATCACGATATTATCATTACAGAGTACCAAATAACTCCAATAACTATATAATAAAACTTTGAGACACATAAAACTCGAGATAAAACAGTTACATAACCGAATCGTTATTTATAATAAATTAATGATTTTAAACAAAAAAAAAATGCGATTTATACAGAATAATTGTACAGTGAAAATAATACAATTAATTAAATAACCATTAATATTCTATATTTCTACATATAATGAGTTTTTTTGTCATTACTAAATACAACTATTACAGTATGACTATGTAGCTTAATTTATGTAATTTATATATATCAATATTTTTTTATTGATTAGTATTAGCTATTTGCATTACTAATTTCACGTTTGTCGATAATATCTAAAATAAAAAAACGCGATTAAATAAATAATTAGCAAGAAAGAAAAACGTGATTAAATATATAAATAATTAGCAATAAAGAAAAATATTTACTTCTTGGAACCGATTATCCAATTCATTTTTTTCATTTTGTAATTTTTCACGTTCTGCTTCTGTTGCTTTAAGTAGCTTATCCAATTCTATTATTTGTCTCTCTAAAGCTGCTATTTTCTTTGCTTCTCCACGATCACTTAATCGTGCACGTTGTTTCTTTTCCAATGATTCTATACGCGTTTGTATCATCGCTGAAAGATTATTAATTTCTTCTTCATGTTGTTGCTGAAGTTTTTGTATTTCATTTTGATGTTCTTGTAAAAGTTGTTGTTTTTGTTCTTCAGCCATTGTAATTAATTGTTCTAATTGTTTAAATCTTGATCCTGTTTTACTTCTTTCTTCACGTTCATCTGTTAATTTCTTTCTAAGCTCTCTTATTTCTGCTTCTTTATCAATTAGCTCCTTCTCTTCTTCCGTTGTTTCCATTGCTTCACCATCTTGATTATCTTGATCATCTTGTTGTTCTTGTCTTTCTGCTAATTTCTTGAGTTCTGCTGTTTTCCTTTGTAGCATTTCATTATCATTCATAGCATTAGCAAGCTTGCATTGGAGATCACTTAGTTGCGTATTTATTTCATGTGTTTCAAGTTCAGTTTCTCGTAATTTTATTTCTATTTTTTCTTTACTTCTTTTTTCCTCTTCCCATAATTTTCTCAAATCTTTAGTTTCTTGTTCCAAGCTCTCCAAATCTTCTCGAAGTTCCTCAATTTCTGTATCTTTCTCCATTAACTTGTATTCATAATTGGAAATAAGGTCCGCCTCTTTTTGTTTCGATGTCTCTTTTTCTGCTGCTAATTCTTTCATAAGTTTTTCTATACCAAATGATTGTTCATCCAACCGTTTTTCCATGCTCGATATGCTATCCTTTGTCTCATTAATTTGACTCTCTCTATTAGAAAGTTCATTGTTCGATATATCTCTCTGTCTTTCCAATTCTTGATACTTATCTTGAAGTTCTTTATATCTTATTTCACTTTCATCTCTCTCTTCTTTAATACTTAAAAGTTTATCCTGGTCATTTCCAAGTTCTTCTACATCTCTCTTTAATGTCACAATTTGTTTTTTAAACTGTCGTGTTTCTTCTTTAACTTTTGTTAATTCATCTTCAATTCGTTCCTTTTCTATTATAATTTTATCATTTTGTTTTTTTAATTCTTTATTCTCTGTTTCAAGTTCTCGATTGTTAATTATCACTTTTTTATATTTGGAATTCAATTCCGCATATTCAGTTTCAACCGAATCAAATTTGACTGCTGCATTATTCATGACTTGAATTTTTTTAGAATATTCGGAATTTTCTTGTATTAATTTTTCATTTTGTATACTTAAATCATGAATAGTTTCTTCATATTCATCTTTTGCTTGATCAAGTTGACGTTTTGATTGATTGATTTGTCTTTCTAATTTATTAACTTGATTATTTAAATCTTCACAACATTCTTTAGTTTCTTTATATTTTATTTCTGTACTTGATAACTCTTCATTAGCTTTATTCAATTCTTCTTGGAGATTTTTTATAATCAATTCGGAATTTCCTTCCATTTTATCTTTAGATTTTAATTGTTGATCTTTAGCATCCAATTGTTGTTTAAGATCTTTAATAACCTTTTCCGTTTCTTGTTGAAATTGTGATATAAGTTTGACTGTGACTCCATTTTGTCGTTTAAGATTGGTTATTTCTTGTTGAGATTGATCAAGCTTTGTTTCAAGTTCTTCTTTTTTATTATCAAGTTCCTCTTTTTCGATTATTATATTTGATAAATGTGTTTCTGATTCTTTAATTCTTGATTCTGCATCAAGTTGATATTGATACCAAGCTTGCATAGCAACTTCGTATTCTTCAATTTGTTTTCGTAATTTTTTCTCCGATTCTTTTTGTTGATGTCGCATTTCTATTATAACACTTTTAGGATCGTTAAGAATACTATCCATTTTTTTAGTGTATTCATCTTTAAGCCTTTCGAGTTCTCGTTCATGTTCTTGATTAATAAGTATTTTTTCTTGATTTGAATATTGTTTAGTTTCCATTAAACTATTTTCAGCTTGTTCTTTTAAAATTTTTATTGATTTAAGTTCTTTCATCAATTTATCCTTTTCAATATCACTATCATTAAATATTTTATTAATTTGTTCCTCTTGTTGATTTCTTAATCGTTCTTCATTTTTTATTTCTTGTTCTCTTAATTCTTTTCTTACATTTTCCATTTCCATTTTATGTTCATTTTTTAACCTTTCTAATTCATTCTTTAATTGTTGTATCTTTGTATCATTTTCTTGATTCTGTCTTTCTCTCATTGTTTCATATTCTTTCTTTAATATCTCCAACTCTTCTTTATGCTCCATAGAACTTGCTTCAATTGGTGTTGTCATACCAGTACTGGCAATACTATGTTCATTATCTGATGAACGTAATTGACTATAATCTGATGTACTTTTCGAAAGACTATCATCTCGATGATGACCTTTATATTTAAGAAGTTCTGATTCAATACTAACTGGTGACTTTATCGGTGATTGACTACCAGATGATCGCATTGGAGGGGATTGTTGTTGTTGTTGTTGTTTTTGATAATTAATTGACCTTTCATTATTAGAATTTAATGAAGTTAATGATGTATCAATTGTTTTATTTACTGTTCGTTTCATAGGTTTGATTTTAGATGATGATATTGTTGATTCATTAACAGCATTTTTTTCATTTTCAAATGCTTTAAGTCGAATGGCTGCAACTTTATTTACTTTTTTAAAAGCAGGTTCAACTTTATCATTTTTCTCATCTTTATCATCATTTATTTTATTTTGGTTGGAATTTCTTATTGATTTCGGAATTTTATTTGGTAAAGGAGGAAGAGGTCGACTATTTTGCGAATTTAAATTTTCAAATTGTTCTAATTTCTTTCGTAATGCTGAAGTCGCTGAAGCCATGATTTAAAAAAATTATATAAATGATAAAAAAAAATTTTTTTTTGTTATAATAAAAAAATTGTATATATACAAAATTAATATACGAAAGGTTGTTGTTGTGTTAAGGAGGGAAAGAATTTGTTGAAATGATAACAAACAATTCGATAAATTTAACTATGCGTAATTTACACTTTTACATGCATTACCATATACCTATTTATTACTAATAAATGCTATTTAATGCTATTTAATGCTAACTAAGGTCTCACCGTTTTATAAATTAAAAAATAAAAAATAAAACACTATTCTTTACTTAAATGACTTACAAACGTCACACACAATTTAGGCTGTGACATTTTGTTCATTAAATTGTATTAACATTTAATCCTTGAGTAACCGTGTGAAAGATTGCTGCGCCATTAAATTACTATCATTTTAAATATTAATAATATTAATAGTGTTTAAACAATAGAATATCTCCCAGGTGACTACGTATTACATTATGAAAAAAGGCGTAAATAAATTAATAAGGGAAAAAAATAGTGATCAAAAAAATGTAATGCTCTCAAACTGTACGTCGTATGTGTGATATTCTTTGCACAACGAATTACACAAAAAGAAAAAAAAACCAATTATAGGTAATGACTTGCGTAAAGAACATAAATATTTTGTATCTGTACGAATGAATTTCTTTCTTTACCGATACTTAGGATGATGGTATTACAAATATATAAATTATTTTTATTATTTATGAAAACGTGAAACCTGAAATCTAAGGTGGTTACAAATCATTACCTAATATATACCGATAGTATCTTTTACTAATACCACATAATATTGCATCAAAAAGGTAACTTGATAACTCTGGTTTCCCCCTTTCATATAGATATCCTACTAATAAAGGAAATAACACTATCTTTACAAAGTTAAAATAGTAATGCGGATAAATATTAATCTTTAAATTACGTTAGAAACCCTATAATAATGTTACAAAGTCAAATATGCCTTCTTAGAATCATTGAGAAACAACCTCGGAGAAGCTCCGTAAAATAACATTTCCAAAATAAATAAAGAATAACAACGATAGTTGCAGTTAGCTTTTTGTACCAAAATGCATATATCCAATCATCCGTACATGTACATACATACGTACGTACAGTACATATGTGTAAGCTTGAAAAATAGCAATGATCAACCATAAAAAATTCGACTTTTAAATTCGGTATGATTTTGTGCATTACGAATCTGTCAAGATTTCCGATTATATGATAATAAAAAAATTAACCTCATAATCAATTTGTTACGTACATACCATCAGTTTCAGTACGTACGTATGTACTGTTCTTTTGCCTAGATTAGTTTGTCTCTTACCAAGATTAGTTTGTCATTTGCCGTACATGTTCAAAACAACATATATACATAAGATGTTTGTACGATCAATAATCTCTTTTTAATATACCAATTCTGTATGATTATTTGTAAGTATTTCGTATCAGATTTATTAATAATCATATTGCTACGTACAATGAATCGCTTGTCCCCAATTGTTACGTATGATCAGTATCTTTCCACGCCATGTGACGTGTTAAAAAATTAATTTACGTATCACGCTGGTAAATATTCTAATCAATTAACAAAAAATATATATAGTTGTTAAATAATTTGTTATTAAATATTTATGTTTTACTTAATTGGACAAAGCAACGGTTTTACATATAAATTCTATAGAGTAAAATTTATACTATTTTATTTAATTTTTGTTCATAGTTAAAAATTTTATAATTATAATTACAATTATAATTAATATTAGCTTAGGGTTAGTATTTAAATATAGTATATACAATTTGTAATACAGTATATCCTTTATAAAACTAAAAGTATTTTGGTTTATAACAATTTTATTTTAAAGTTAATTATATTTAAACACTAGAAACTAGAAACCATATCCAAGTTATATTAATAATTTTAACCATCTTAGTCATATTTTAATGCTACTTTACATCACACTAGTAACATCTTAATACTACAATTCTTGTTTTTATTCAATACCTCTGCAATATTAACTATTAATAACTATATTTTTTTTAGAAAAATTTTTCAAGTTTTTAACAATATCTATTTAATTTACCTATATTTAAAAATACTTATTTTAATTAATCAAAAGTCTAATATAACAGATCTTAATTATTTTTATTAAAATTTTTTTAATAGTTTTAGAATTACACTTTTTATAAAAAAAATCACAGATCAAATAAATAAATAAAAGGTAAATAATAAGTAAATAACAGAAAAAAAAATCTGCCATTATTCTACCTTATATCCATCAAATAATAGCAGCATAACAGCAGCATAACAGCAGAATAACAGTAAAATAATAAGAGATTTGTTAATATGAGTAACATAATAATAATATAATAGCAAAATAATAGAACAGTTATATTATTTTATTTTTAGTTATAAAGACTAAAAGTAAAATAATAAAACTGTTTTATTATTTTGCTATTATGTTACTATTATGTTATTCATATTAACAAATCTCCTATTATTTTATTGTTATTCTGCTATTATGTTATTGTTATGTTGTCATTATTTGGTAAATATAAAGTAAAATAATGATAGATGTTTTTTCTATTATTTATTTATTATTTACTCTTTATTCATTTGTTTAACCTATAAATAATAATAATTCTTATCTAATTTTTTTTAAAATTTAACCTACTTTTTATTTAATAAAAACTTTAAATTAAAGGATGTGATAACCTAGTGAAGTGATTAGGTTGTCAACTTCCAAGTGGTAGGTTTGGTGTTCAAATTTCATTGATGGTAAAAATTTAAATAATCATCTATATAATATTTATATTATAACAACTGTTACTAATAATTGGGTTAGGATATCTGTAATGATGATTGCACCAGCATGATTAGCAAGTCATGAAGCATCTATACAATATTGGAATTATACAGAGAAATGCAAACCAACAAATTAGACAATACAAATATTAGATAAGTCTTTGTAACTATATAAATTTGTTAAAATTAAATAACAAGAAGTTCATTTGAGAAGACCTGAATAGAGAGAAAGATAGCTGGATCTTTGATAGTCCTACTATAAAAACTAGTTTGAAGAAACAAATATCAAGGTTATAGTACTTGGTTATAGTAGCCAAATAGACAAGAACCTTTGTATTAGAAATCTCAGAGATATTACCAATCAGGTTATTAAAACAAACTAAAAAAAAAGAATATCAAACTAATCTGATATATCAATAGACTAGTTATAGTTCTATATAGACTATCTGAATTGAGAGTTTGGTAAAAAAGCAGATTAAAAGTCAGAAATATACTAAAATACTAGGATTATATTATAAAATAAATGTTAGAGTCTATATGAACTCTATAAAAATATAGCAATTAAATAATATAACTCTAATCACAAATGTTGATTCTGCTATAATAATACTAAATCAGCTGTAAAAATAGATACAAAAAGTTCTAGAAGGTTTATCTTGAAAATAAAATAGTTCTAAGATTGAGATAATAATCTAGACATCAGGTATAACCTAATGAAGTTAACAAGTTTGCAGATTCAGAAAGTTTTTTTTTTTTTTTAAAAAAAATATGAAATGGTGTACTTTATTTAATAAATTATAAATACATTATTTTTAGACTAATTATCACTATTTATTTATAGTTAGATTTAAGAACCTAGTTATTTTGGTCTTTGTCTTGTTTTTAGACATTTTATCTAAAACTCTGAGGTTTTTAATAATCTTAGTCTTTGTAATGCTCTTTATAGCTTCTTCTGAAATAAAATTATTTCTCCATTTAGCTTGAGTATACCATAACTATATTTTATATATTATCGTAATATGAAGCTAAAGTGCAGACTTTCTTTTTTTTAAATCTTTTATATTTGAGGCATTTAGAATTTCTTCCATTAACTAAGTATGATTTTCTTTTGATTCTGTTTAAAGGAAAGTATATTCTTTTTTTCAGAACATTTAACTAATTCAACAATTAATAGCAAAATAGCTTAGAGTTTGCTTCTAATTCGTACAGTTTAGACAGTTTTTATCAATTTCTTTGTTGATGTGCATAAGATGATATCCTAGTGGTAACACATTGTTTTAAAGTCTCTAGAAAATGTCCTTCTTTTTATTAAGTAGTTCTTTGCATTAAAACCAATTAGGAACTCTTTTAGAATCTTCTGATAGACATAGTAAGATTTGTGTTGTAGTAGGTTTGATTGAATTTTGTTTTAAAAATTTAGTAGCTCCTTGTACTGAGAATTAATTTCTAGGAATATTACAGACTTTTAATTGTGACATATTTCATAGCCAATTACTAGTTACAAGAATGGATTCTTTAAGTTTTTTTCAGGCAGTTTGGTATAGCTTTCAATGGTCAGGCCATCCTTTAAGTCTTATTGGCATTTTGATAAGAATTGTTATTATGATTAAATTTCTTTTAATCTGGAGACTTTAAGAAATAAGTGATCTTTCAATTTTAGTCTATAAACTATCTGCAGAGAGGAGTTTTAACCAAATTGAAATAAGTCTGGAGTCTAAGATATCTTTAAGTACTGAAGCATTAAGACCTTCTTTGTTATAGTCTAGTTGGAATGCTAAATATCTTGGTAGTAGCTTAGATTTGTTTTTAATCTAGCCAGATACAAGTGTATTGATTCTATCTAGTTGTTTTTTACTAGGTGGCAATAGATATGTCATATACCAAATTTTTGAGATAAAAAGAGATTTGAATAGCAAGGTCTTTTCTTTAAATGACAGGTTTCTTGTTAAGATCTTTTTTATTTTATTCTTGATGTCTTGAGTTATGCTTTCTCAGACTTGTTTTGATAAATTACTTTTGGCATTTATTTTAAATTCAAGAATTCTTAGCTAACTATTCTCTTTTGCAATCTTAAAAAGATTTTGGTTTGAAAGGCTAGTTACTTTGGTTATAACTGTTATTAGTATTAGAATTGATTTCTTAAAGTTAATTCTGGCATTAGCTGTTACCTC